ATAAATAAAAGGACAATCCTAAGGTTTTGGAGTAGATCTGTAGCTCGGGTTGTGGGTGTTGAGAACAGACACGTGGGTAAGAAACCTCTCCGACAGGAAACTAACAGACATGGAAAAAGCCGTTCTCACCTGAGGACTGAACTACAACTACAGGGACGCCAACAAAACGGAATTCCTAGCTACACTGGAAGCCACACTCGAGACCAATAATATCAATGAAGAAACACAACAAACTATAAGACAGACAGTAGTCCCGACACTAACCAGAAGGAGTGAACTCAACACCCTCAACACATGGGAGAGACAAGCCCTGGACGGATTAAAGAAAGACAAGAACATCCCAATACTACCTGCAGACAAAGGGTGCATGACAGTGATAATGAATAAAAGGGACTACATCTCCAAGGCACAAGTACTGCTTGCCGACGAGAACACATACCGGCCAGTACAAACTGACCCGACACCACAACTAGGCAACAAAATCCTCTGCACGCTACAAAGACTTAAACAAACAGGACAGATCAACAAAACAATTCTGATGAAGGGTCTAGGCCCGAAATGTCAGCCTTCCTGCTCCTATGATGCTGCTTGGCCTGCTGTGTTCATCCAGCTCTACACCTTGTTATCTCAACAAAACAGACTTCTTAAAAATGAAACCCGAAGGAACCAACACACCCCGATTCTACGGCCTCCCTAAAGTGCACAAGCTGGAAGTCCCCCTCATACCCATAGTCTCCCGAGCAGGCACTCCATCGCACAGATTAGCCAAAGAACTACAAAGAAGACTCAGGCACCTAGTCAACAAGTCACCCCGCTCTATCCGCTCAGCCCAAGAATTCCTCAACTCCATCGAAGACCTAAAGATAGAGGATGAAGAGACCATGATATCGTTTGATGTCACTGCCCTATTCACATCAATAGACATACCACTAGCAAGGGAAACAATGACAACACTACTTGAACAAGAACACAACCCCAGTGAAACCATCTCCAAGGACAACATGCTCAAACTATTGGACCTATGCCTGACCACTCACTTCACCTTCAACGGCCAAACATACGAGCAAATCAACGGGACACCCGTGGGATCACCTATCTCTGGACTCATAGCAGAAGCAGTGATGCAAAGACGGGAAAGGACCACCCTTCCGCAAATCCAACCTAAACTGTGGATACGCTACATAGACGACACCTTTGTCATCATTAAACGGACCAAATTAGAAGAGAGACACAAACTTATAAACAACACCCTCACCGGAATAAGATTCGCCAGAGAGGAGGAGAAGAACAAACTGCTCCCATTCCTGGACATCGCGGTAGAGCGCAAGACAAATGGGGAACTGCAAATGAAAATACACCGTAAAGCCACACCACACAGACCAAGTACTGAACTTCAAAAGTAACCACCCCAGCACACACAAACGAAGCTGAGTGCGAACACTATTTAAAAGGGCAACAACACACTGCAGCAACACGGAACTACGCCAACAGGAAGAAGAATACCTCTTCCAAGTGTTCAAGGATAATGGATATCCAAAGAACTGGGTCAGAAAATGCCTACATGAACAGCAGCAGAAAGATTCTACATGCCCCGACACACTCATCACACTACCCTACATCAAGAACACATCGGAACTCACCACAAGACTCCTACGACCACTGGGCATCAGAGTGGCACACAAGCCCACGTCAACCCTACGACAACTACTCACCCGAACTAAAGACCCACTTCCCGCCATGGACAGGACCAGTGTTATCTACAAAATCCCCTGCAGAGACTGCGAGAAACACTACATCGGACAAACAGGAAGGAAACTGACAACAAGAGTACACGAACACCAACTGGCTACAAAAAGACACGACCAATACTCACTCATCTCAATCCACATGGACAAGGAGAACCACGACTTTGACTGGGACGACACCAAGATCCTGGGACAGGCTAGGCAGAGACCAGCACGAGAATTCCTGGAAGCATGGCACTCCACGAAGCATGCTATTAATAAAAACATTGAACTCGACCCCATATACATTCCACTACGAAGGAAAACCGGAAGTGAGGTAATCCATCTCAACGGACCCCAGAGTTTAAAAACCAGGCGGGAAAACACACCGACGCTTCATCGGAGGCTGCACTGAGGATGTTACCCAGCAGGGTAACGAAACGTCTGCAAAACAACAAACCAGCTCGGCGAGCCAACCAACCTCAAAAGGACAATCCTTCACAAACAAATTGACTATAAAATGGAAATGTATTGATCCTTTTCCATTGTTAATCTAGGTAATTTATTCAGAGTTTAATTCTGCTCTTAATAAGGACAATCGTTAAGTAATGAACTGAAATGTGGATACACTTTCAAATCTCAAGTCAGGGTTTGAGTTTCATGAAATTCTTATTTGTTCCTCCCCAATTAAAATTTATTTTTTTGTTAATAAAAAGCTAATATTGTTTTATTGTATTATTGTCCCCAAGCTCTATAGAATTTTTTTTTTGTCTTCAAATGCACTTCCTCCCCATTTTATTTAATTAAATTAAAAGTAAAATGAAAATTTATAGTTTGAGCTAACCCTGCATTTGAACCAATTTCGTCATTGGAATTTTAGTGAAGCCTGAGGGTGATTATTATCTTTTGCCTCTTGAACAAGGTGAAATACCTAACAGACTTTTTTAATGTCAGATGTGAATATGAATTTGAATACTTCGACATCAATGATTTGAAACTACAATGTCATGGATTGCTTCACCTGATGCAACCAATTTTTATTTAAAAATGATGTGGCATTCTTATAAAGCATTTCAGAGAAGGGGAGACACTTTATAGGGAGGATATCACAAGACAGCAAATTGTCAAATACCAGCGTCTGTGGCACCCTGTCCTATTGGCAGCATAACCTACCAGTCACAAAACCAGCCTTGGCAGTCACCCACATACTAGAATCCTATCAAATATGACTCTAGGTACCTTCACCTCAGGGCAAACAGGATCAAACAAATTTAGATGATTAGCCTCAATAAGGAGACCTCACATTATGTGACTAAACTTTAATGAAAGTCCTTAACCTTACTGTCAACAGTGAGTACCACCTGAACCTCAATGTGGACTGAAATCCCACTCTAGAGATTACATTGCACAACTCTAAGGACGGTGTCAACGTGGGTTTTTGTAGTGCTACCTTAACAGAGATGCTTTCTTTTCAGGAAAATGTTAAACCAGGCTCTATCGAGTGGGCACAAAAGATCCCCCAGCACTAATGAGAAGAACAAGAATTAGGCTTCCTGTCCTGGGTCAGGCCTTTTCAGGATGTGGGTTTGTTTTTGTGTCCCTGAAGGCTTTTTGTCCACACAGGCCTTGATAGGTTGGTGGTTCACATTCAGGGCTGGCCATGTGTGTCTGAGTGTGAGGGGTGATTTATTTAAAGTCCAAGCCAGCAAGACCAGGATGGGTTGTGCAGCTGCAGGCATTTGCATGAGTCATATGTACAGTTCTGGATTCTTTGGAATGGGTACAGAAATGGTTTACCAGGATGTTGCATGGTATGGGGCATTTTTTTGCTATAAGGTTGGATAGACTGGGTGGCTCCCAACCCACACTGTGCCCAAGATGATACCAGCTTTCCCCCACCCCCCAACCTCATGGTAAAGTTTTCTTTATTAATTTCACCCAGAGTTGTTTATCTGCTTGCTGGAAATAGTGGAATGATGGAAAGTTTATTGGGTTGGGAGGCATAGATGGCGATGGACCCTGTTTTTTGTCATTTATATAAATGATTTGCATATGAATACAGGAGGCATGGTTACTAAGTTTGCAGACAATACCAAATTTGGTGGTGGTGCAGATAGTAAAGAAGGTTATCTCGGTATACAATGGGACGTGCATGGGTCAGTGCATCAAGTATAGGAGTTGGAATGTCATGTTGTGGCTGTACAGAACAGTGGTTATTTCCACTTTTAGAATACTGCCTTCAATTCTGGTATCCCTACTACAGGCAAGATGCTAAACTTGGAAGGGTTCAGAAAAGATTTGAGGATGTTGCTAGGTTTGGAGAGTTTGACCACTATGGAGAGGCTGAACAGGCTGGGGCTATTTTCCCTGGAGCATCTGGGACTGAGGGGTGACCTGATAAAAGTTTATAATATCATGAGGGTCTGGGATAGGGTAAATAGCCACGTTTTTTTCCCCAGGGTAGGGAAGTCCAAAACTAGAAGCCATAGGTTTCAGATGAGAGGGTGGTGTGTGAATGGAATAAGCTGCCAGAGGGAATGATGGAAGCTGATACAATTACAATATTTTAAAGGCATCTGGATGGTTATATGAATAAGAAGGGTTTATAGGGAATGGGCCAAATGCTGGCACATGGGACTGGATTTATTCAGGATCTCTGGTTGGCATGGGCAAATTGGATAGAAGAGTGTTTCCATGCTGTACAACTCTAGTGCCTCTGATAAGACAGTGGGCACCTGGTCACTATTTAAACTTGTATTTATTATCTTCCAAAGAATGTTGTAATTACACTGTCGATAAAGATTGGTTTTAGTGGTAACATTTATCAATTTATCTCTATCTTTGTTTGCAAGTACTTCAACCAGAGGTCAAGGCTGATAGGGTTCTGAGGGTCACCGGACCTGAAACGTTAACTCTGTTTTCTCCTCCACTAATGCTGCCAGACCTGCTGAGCTTTTCCAGCAACTTTGCTTTTGTGGCAAGGCTGATCGTGCCTCATTGCTTGAATCAATCCAAAGTAAGAAATTGTTGGAATGTTTGTTTTATAAATAAAGCAGTGGATCATGATTAAAGATAAAGGGAGGGGTCCATTAACTTCTGGTGAATGAAAAGGTTTTCTGCTGCATGGGACCCGGAAAAGAAATTCGGAAATTCGCATTAAGCGGAGCACGTTTTTCGAAAACGCCTTTTGTCCGTTTGCGGCCACCAGCCAGGGCCGGTGCGCCGACGTTAGTGTTTCCCCCGGTAATGCGGGCCCAGGACATTGGTTCCGTGCCCCCACTTTGGCGGAATCGTGTCTCCGTCTACCCCCGGGTGGGCCATGGCGTTCCGGAAAGCGTTCCAAGTGGCCTGTGGCATCGCTGGCACCGCCGCCGTGGTGGTGGCTGCCGCGGCCACGACTCAAAGGCGCGGCGAGGGCCGGGTCGAGGCGGCGGCGGCGGTGAGTTGGAGCCCGAGCCCGCCTCTGGAGCAGCGAGCGGCCGCCGGCTGGGACTTCAACTGGGACAAGTGAGTGCGGGCGAGGCCCAGGCCCCGGGGGGGAGGCCGCAGGCCCCCGCGGGGCTGAGGGGGTGCCGCAGTGTCGGAGCTGCTCTCCCTATTCAGCATCGCCTCAGGTTCCCGTTTTGAACAAAAACCAAAAACAAACTGCGCCACTCCCTGGGCTTGGCCCCCAGGGGACTTTCTCCAGCTCCCTCTGGACCAGGTCTCCGGTTTCCTGCTTAATATTTAACTCTCCATCAATATCCGCACCCGCTCCCAAATCAAAACTGGTTTGCTGTCTATGGGATTGAACTGAATGCACTTCAGAAAGGAGGCTGCTGATATCTTCAACATCATCATGTAAATAAAAGTACCAGAAACAGAAATTGCTGAAGAATCTGTGCAGAGAAAACAGAGTTGACGTTTCGAGTCCAGCTCCCCACTGGAGGATGGAGACCTGGAGTTCTTTGAATATCAGATTAGTTGTTGGGTATCAAGGGATTTACAGCAAAAACCACCAGATGAAGTATATAGAGATAGTAGGAACTGCAGATGCTGGATAACCGCAGGAAGTGCTACACCTGCCCCCATACCTCCTCCCTCACCCCCATCCCAGGCCCCAAGAAGACTTTCCACATCAAGCAGATGTTCACCTGCGCATCTGCTAATGTGGTATACTGCATCCGCTGTACCCGTTGTGGCCTCCTCTACATCGGGGAAACCAAGCGGAGGCTCGGGGACCGCTTTGCAGAACACCTACGCTCGGTTTGCAATAAACAACTCCCCCTCCCATTCCTCAGATGACATGTCCATTCTGGGCCTCCTGCAGTGCCACAACGATGCCACCAAAGGTTGCAGGAACAGCAGCTCATATTCCGCTTGGGAACCCTGCAGCCCAATGGTATCAATGTGGATTTCACAAGCTTCAAAATCTCCCCTCCCCCTACCGCATCCCAAAACCAGCCCAGCTTGTCCCCGCCTCCCTAACCTGTTCTTCCTCCCACCTCAAGCCGCACCCCCATCTCCTACTTATTAACCTCATCCCACCCCCTTGACCTGTCCGTCCTCCCTGGACTGACTTATCTCCTCCCTACCTCCCCACCTACACTCACCTTTACTGGTTCCATCCCCGCCTCTTTGACCTGTCTGTTTCCTCTCCACCTATCTTCTCCTCTATCCATCTTCTATCCGCCTCCCCCTCTCTCCCTATTTATTTCAGAACCCCCTTCCCCTCCCCCCTTTCTGATGAAGGGTCTAGGCCCGAAACGTCAGCCTTCCTGCTCCTATGATACTGCTTGGCCTGCTGTGTTCATCCAGTTCTACACCTTGTTATCTCAGATGAAGTATATACGTGGATGTAATTGAATGGTAGAACAGTCAAGATGGCCAGTTTGAGCTATTTTAGTGTTACAGGAATGTTGTACTGGTACAAGGTCAAATTCCACTGAGTGTAGCATCAAGGATCAATGGGTATCAGGGGATAAACTTTCTGCTGGTTGGAGTCCTACCTGGCACATAGGAAGACGGTTGTGGTTGTTGGAGGTCAGTCATCTCAGTTCCAGGACATCTCTGCAGCAATTCCTCAGGGTAGTGTCCTAGACCCAACCATCTTCACCAGCTTCATCAGCAGTGACCTGCCTCCATCATAAGGTCAGCAGCGGGTATTTCATCAATGATTGCACAATGTTCAGCACCTTTCATGACTCTTCAGATAGTGAAGCAGTCAAAATTCTGGAATGCCCTCTTTATGGGCATTGTAGGTTAACCTGCAACATATAGACTGCAGAAGGCAGCTCACCACCACCTTCTCAAGGGAGGGCAATTAATGCTGACCAGCAATGTCCACCCACGTCCCACAAATTAATTTTTAAAAAAAAATCTGAATTTGTTTCTTCCACGTTACTGTACTAATAACTGGTGAACTTCGCCAAACTTTAATGCAGTTGTGTGGAAGCATTTGTGTTGAAGGCAGATTAGTTCTTCTTGCATGAGTTTAACCAGTTCTCAGCTAGATAGTTAAAGTACCAGGGAAGGAGTTTTCTGATGGAATGTAAAACACTGAGAATGTGGTTCCTGTCCTAACCATTGATGAATTTCTTTCTTTCAGGCGGGAGCCTATTTCATTGATGAAACCCAATAAGAAAAACAAAGACAACGCTGAGGACTTTACTGCTCAACTTGAAAATTACAAAGTCAAAGCCACAAGGCACATCTTCCTCATCAGACATTCCCAATACAATCTGTCAGCCTCAACAGACAAAGAAAGAATTCTGACATCACTGGGTCTGTACATGTGAATTTATTACTTAAGACCTTTTGTAAATTATCTCTTTGGTTGTATCTAGTTTTATTTTGTATTGATTATCCATTTGCCAGGAGTGAGGAACAAGTGTTGTTGGGAATCGAGGAGCTAAGATCTTGCAGAGGAAATTGTGCTAGGCTTGGGAGAAAGCACAAGGGATGAATTAGAGAGAAAATTCTGGAATACTCCATAGTTTTAGCGGAACCTGCAAAAAGTTTGAAATGAAATAGGTTTTGTACAAGTGAAAGGAGGGGGCTGGGAGGAAAACATTTGGAAAGTCTGTGGTGGATTAAATGACAAATGGCTTAACTTTTATTTTGGATTTCAAACATTTGCATTATTTTGATATATGGACTAATTGGACAGATTTTTAAAAAAGGCTAGCACAGGCACAATGGGCCAAATAGTCACCACCTTTGCTATATTATCCTATGATACACATCCTTGTTTTCAGATCGCTGCCACCAGCTCAGCCCTGCTTCTTCCTGTAATCTCTCCCAGTCCTGTGACTGTTCAGCATGTTTGTGCTCCTCTAATGCTAGCGTGTTGAGCATTCTCAATTTGAATCACACCACCACAGGTGACCGTGCCTTCAGCTGCTAAAACCCTAAACTCTGGAATTCCCTCCGAGTGTCTAAGACACTTTCTTCCTTTAAAACACTCCCTTCAAACATATTTTTCTACTTTGGCTCCAGTTCACCAATTCACTTTCCAATCTCAATTTTACATTAGTTTACAGGCTGAAACATTGCAAGTATACACCTCCTAATTATCCTCCCCACATTTTCATCTCTTTATATTTGCTCGAGGTATTTTCAAATCAACCTCTTCAAAGATGTTATTACACAACTGAAACAGGTGCAACTTGAACCCAGACCTCCCAACCTAGGGGTAGGGAGACTACCACTCACTGCAAAAGCCCTTTATATTTGCACAATGAAAGCTGCATTAATGCACTGTACTTCTAAATAATTAAGCACAATGGCTAGATAATTTATCTTTTAGTAGTTATTTATTTGAACAAGTTTTTGACTATTATCCCTACCATCTCCTCGTATGCCTCACTGTGTGATTTTGCTTTATAACTTTCCTGTGAAGACCTGTGGAAGGTTTTCTTATGTCAAAGTTACTTTATAATCATAATTTGTTGTAGTGCAGGATGCCAGGAAGTTTCGAGAGTGGGAGAGCAGATCACAGAGATCAATTTGCGGCAATGATGCCAAATTCAGATTTTCATCTTTGGAGGAAGACCAAGTAAACCAATAAGTTCAGTTGTTTTAAGGTCCTCAGTTGGAAAGGATGAGCAGGAGCAGCCAGTGTACCTTTAAACAGGCAGAACAATGCCCAGGATAGTTTATTGTGTCTTATGTAGAGCAAAGAGCTAATATATCATTATTTATGCTTTGCAGTTCTAGAAATGTGGTGTTTGTCATATAACATTGTTAATGTATTCAGTACTGTGGCAAAGCATAGTCCATTAGACATTTGAGGATGTTTACTGAATTTATCAGATGAACGGCTTGTAGTTTTATTGTCTATAAACTGTTTATCACCTTCAGGCTGAAAATGTTACTTTGTTCCAGGACGTGAACAGGCTGAACTAACGGGTCAGCGATTGGCAAGTTTGGGATTGAAATATGACATTCTGATTCACTCCAGTATGACCAGAGCAAAAGAGACAGCGACAATTATTAGTAAATACCTGCCAGGTGGGTCAGGGTGCACTCAGTCAGACTAATGCTGTGTCTGCTCGGTACTTTGCAGATTTTCTTCTGATTTTTAATAATCAATTCTATCATAAAAAAGTAAAATTTGCATTTGTGGGACTCGGATATTTAACAGGGACAATGCACAATTAGATTTACTTACTACTCTTCTCGATGTTTTTCTTAAAGACAACCTGTTTGGCTAAACTTTTGGTCACCTCTCCTAAAATCTCCTTATGTGGCTTGGTGTAAATTTTTGTCTGAAGTGCTTTGGGATGTTTTACTACAGTTAAAGTGCTGTAATGTAATGTAAGTAGCTTTGCATATCCATGAAGTGTCGATGGACGTAATGTTTTAAGATGAAAGCCCGTGAATACTTTGAGACCCAATGTTTGTTGAGTGTTGCGTGTCGCATGCTTGGGAGAAAGAGGGGAACACGGACCTAAGGCTCCAAAAGGTCTCCATGAGGAGATTTCCTTCCCTTCTGTCTCCATCGGTTGTAAATTCACTGATATACATTGATCATTCTGATAAGTCATTAATTCCACTATCGTTGAATTATGTGACTAATAAGTTGGGAAAACTGAACTAGATGGACCTTGGTCCTTTTTCGCATTTAGCAAATTCTTTTTTGTCAGTTGATGCTGATATTGACAAAGGTATAAATTCCATAACAATCTGTTACTAGTCAGTGCTTTACTAGTTACTTCATTAGTGGCAGCCTGTCACACTTCTTAGCACAAGCCTTTGATGTTCAGAGGGATTTCAGTTTAATGTAGTGTTGAGGGAGTACTGTATTGTCAGAGTGACCGTATCTCAGATGAAAATTATTTATAGAAAAAGGGAGTTATTCTTGGTGTCCTGACTAATATGATGGGGAAATGGTATCATAGTGATACTGTCACTAGATTAGTATTTCAGAGACCCAGACTAATGTCATGGGCTCATGGATTTGAATAAGACCATAAGATATGGGAGCAGTTCGGCCCATCAAGTCTGCTGTGCCAGTCAATCGTGACAGATGTATTTCTCGACCCCATTCTCTTGCCTTATCTCCGTAACTCTTGATCCCTTTCCTAATGAAGAATCTATCTATATCTATCTTCAATAAACTCAATGACTTGGCCTCCACAGCCTTCTGCGGTAATAAGTTCCACAGAATAACCACCCTCTGACTGAAGAAATTTCTCCTCATCTCAGCTCTAAAGGGTCGTGCTTTCATTTCTGAGGCTGTGCCTCCGGGTCCTAGTCTCTCCCACTAGTGAAAACATCTTCTCCACGTCCACTTTATTCAGGCCTCTCCGTATTCTGTAATTTTCAGTCAGATCCCCCTCATCCTTCTAAACTCCATGGAGTACAGACCCAGAGACCTCCATTGCTCCTCATGTGACAAGTCCTTCATCTCCAGGATCATTCTTGTAAGCCTTCTCTGGGCCCCCTCCAATGACAGCACATCTTTCCTTTGATACAAGGCCCAAATAGTGTTCCAAATGCAGTCAGACCAGAGCCTTACATAGCCTCAGCAGTACGTCCCTGCACTTGTGTTCTAGCCCTCTTGAAATGAATGCTAACGTTGCATTTACCCTACTAACTGCCAACTGAACCTGCATGTTAACTTTAAGACAATCCTGAATGAGGACTCCCAAATCCCTTTGTGCTTAAAATTTCCGAAGCCTTCCCAATTTAGAAAATAGTCTATGCCTCTATTTTTCCTACTAAAGTGAATAACCTCCCAATTTCCCCATAGTATGTTCCATCTGCCATTTATCTGCCGACTCTCCTAGCCGGTTCCTCCACCTATGTTTGTGTCATCTGCAAATTTAGCAAAAATATCCTCAGTTCCTTCATCCAAATCGTCAATGTATACTGTAAATAGTTGTGGTCACAACACAGACCCCTACAGTACTCCACTAGACACCGGTTGCCATTTGAATTCAATAAAAATCTGGAATTTTTTTTTTTAAGAAAGCTGGCCTAATGTAAACCATGTAATCATTGTCACTTGTTGTAAAAAAAAATCTGACCTATTAATGTCTCATGGGAAGGAAATCTGCCATCCTTACTTGATCTGACCTATATGTGGCATGAGTGAATGTGATTTACTCTTAACTGCTCTCTGGACAACTAGACAATGAAACCTAACCTAGCCAGTGATGCCCCCACGTTCCCTGTACAAATAATAAAAATTGACTTCACAAAAGCAGATTATCTATTCATTACCACATTGCTGTTTGTGGAAACCTGCTGCATGCAATTTTGCTACACTTTATAAGTTCATTGGCTGTAAAGTACTTTAAGACATGGTGGTGAAAACAACAGACATGATGTAAGTCATTCTTTTTCACAATCCCATCCGGTCCTGGTGACTTACCAACTTTAGAAACAAACAGTCAGTCCTTTTCTGCTTTGATTTTTTTTTTTTTAAAAACTTCTTTTACTACGGCTTTGGTTGCATCTTCTTCCTTGGTAAAACAAGGATTACAAATTAAAGTATCGTGCAAAAAATATGATGGAGGAATGGGATACGAATAGAAATACTGTGTGTGGAAGAAGTTGGGTACCTAGGTTGACTGGACGGCTGGATTAGGATGCAGTGTGGGTTCAATTCTCGCACCAGCTAAGGTTACCATGAAGGACTCTCCTCATCCTCTCCCTCAGGTTAAACCACCACCAGTCATTTCTTTCTAATGAGACAGCTGCCCTATTGTCTGGTGAAACCATGGTGACAGTATTGTGTGTGGCTTTGGTTTGATGAATTCCTTCTGTGGCAGATCACTGATCTCATTTGCATCTTTGAGGCAATAAAGAAGAACGTTCATGTGTAGCAATAGAGGGGAATGGGGAAATAGATCAATGTAATAAGCAATTAGTGTATTTAATGTACTGATTGGATGTGGCATTTATATTTGTGAGCATTGTGGTTCTAGGTTTGGAAATGATGAGTTGCGACTTACTGAGAGAAGGAGCACCAATTGAACCCGTGCCACCAGTCAGCCATTGGAAACCAGAAGCTATGGTAAGAATGAAGCTAAAGGTAACTTACAATAAACTGCTTCTGTTGAGAAGTGCCAGTGGAAATCACAAGATTACATGCTGTCCAGTGAATTTAATGTTTGAATATAGTTTGGTTTTCATTTATAGATAGGAGTGACTTAGCAAGTTTTTTTTTTTAAAATGAACTTCCTGCTGTTAAGGAGCCATGTTGATCCTAAGAATATTGTTATAACTCACTCCTTCAACCCAAAACTACTTCGCACAAAATTGGAACAGAAGTACATCATTCAGCCCTATTCTGCCGTTCAATTCGATCCTTGCTGTTTCTATAGGAGATGGGTGTCTGGATTGGTAAATGGTGAATGCTTTTCGTTTTCGATACATTGAAAGCTACAGTATTGCTAAAAGAGTCTACTGCGGCTGTGTTCTGCTCTGGTGATACTAACTTGCCTCTCTCTGTTTACGAGGTTGAAGTATGTGAGAACAGTTTTGTGTTCTGGACTGATGATTGGATGACTGCAGCCAAATTCAATGTTTATGTCTGTGCTTGCTTCCCATTGGAAGAGTTGGTTTTAAATTGTATCTGTTTGAGTCAAACTAAATTCAGGTCACAGCAAAATGCCAGTCTTCCCACAGTGAGACTCAACATATCATTATCGACAAAGCAAAGTTGGGAGTCTGATGGAATGCTGTTCACTTGCCTGGATGAGTGAAGCTCCAACAACACTCAACAATCTCAATAAAACAGTCCACTTTTTTTGGAACCCTCTGCTCTCTACCATGTAGAAGGAGAGAGACAGCAGATGCATTGGAATACCACCACCTGCTCTTTCCCCTTCAATCCACCCACCGTCCTGACTTGGAAATACAACATTGTTTGTTCACTGTCACTGGGTCAAAATCCTGGCAGTCCCCTCCAAACAGCACTGGAAGTATTCCAACACCCAATGGATTACAGTGGGTCAAGAAGGCAACTCATCACCATCTTCTGCAGGACAATTAAGGATGGTCAATGAATGATGGCGTAACCAGTGTCACCCACATCCTCTGAACAAATAATCTTAAAAAAAACTGTGTTCTGATTCCTTTAGAGATAACTTGGAGAAAGAGCAGGTTATGACTGCCATCAAAATTCTGTTTGAAACATTTGTTAATCTAAAATACGTATTTCATCGTGCGTTAATGTAATTGCTGTTGAGATATTACACCCCCATATTGCTGATAGAAGGGGAGTTTCATGATATTGATCCAGCAACAATGAAGGAATGGTGATATATTTCCACGTTACAGTTCAGAGATGGATTTTGCCAATATGTCTATAATTTCCAGATGGTGGTACTTTCCAGACAGTATCTAAAGTGACTTACATATTTTTCAAATGTACTCAGCAGTATCACGAAGATGGTGCAAGGATCGAAGCTGCCTTCCGACGCTACATTCACAGAGCTGATCTGAAGCAAGAGAACGATAGTTATGAGATCATTGTCTGTCATGCAAATGTTATCCGTTATTTTGTTTGCAGGTATTTATTCAATATTTTGTTATAACTGGGGAAAATGTAGAGGTCTTATACCCGGTAGTGTATTTCCAAGTAGCTATTAGAGCATCAAGTCCACATTCCATTCAGTATAACACCAATATGATAATCACAAATGTTTGCAAATTCATTTAATATTTACCAGTGTCAAAATCTGTTGGAAATGAAAAGTCTTGCCTGTGCACTCTTGGTAACTCGTTTCAGTGATGCTTAGAGTTTTTGAAAAAATTCTGTTTTGGAGAAATGACAGGGTTGAGATCAGTTCTATAAAGAAACTGGACAAGAATGGATTATTTTCCTTTCAGCAAAAATGGTTAAGGGGAGATTTAATGGAGTTGCTCAAATCATGGGGAGATTAATTGAGAAACTGTTTCTGGTGGAAGGAATGGTAACCAGACAGACCTTAATTTTAACATTATCACCGGAAAAAGCAGTGCAGAACTGACTCTGTATTGTACTAACCACCTACGTTATGTGCTCAAATATCTGGAATGGGATTTAAAACCGCACCCGACAGAGCTGGGAGCATCAAGGCTAACATCAAAATATCACAGCTACATTGCAGACTTACCAAAGTGAAAGAGAAGAACTCACTTAAGTACAAACAGCTTTGCTTGATTTTGTCTTATTTATTCATAGGATGTGAGCAACAGTAGTAAGACCAGCATTTATTGTTCATCCCTAAGTGCTCTTGAGAAGGTGGTGTTAAGCTGCCTATCTTTGACATAGTTGACTGGGCTTGTTAGGGCATTTCAGAGGACAGCTGAGAGTCAGACACATTGCTGTGTGTCTGGAGTCGTCTGTAAGTCAGATTAAGTAAGAACAGCAGAATTCCTTCATTAAGGAATGGGTTTTTAATGCCCATCCAATAGTTACATGATTATTACTATTGGTACTAACTTTATTCCAGTATTAGTTAATTAGTTGCATTTAATTTCCCCAAATGCCTGGAAAGTATTTGAACTCCTGTCTGTGTCCAGCTCCCTTGAATTGCTAGGTTAATAGCATAATCTTATGGTGCAACACATCATCTGTTTGTATTAATGTAAGTAATGATTTGACTAATCAGACTGCATGGACTTTTGAATGAGCAGTTGTGTTTGACAAACATGTTGGAGTTTTTTTGAGGGTGTCACTAAAAGGATTGATAAAGGGAAGTCCGTGGACATAATATAAAAGACCTTTGATAAAGTTTCCCGCAGGAGGTTAGTTAGTAGAATTAAAGTACAGGGAGTAGTGGTAATGCACTGGCACAGATTTAAAGATTGGCCAATGAGCAGAAACAGTAATAATATTGTGAGAATGACTCAATGGTCGGCTCTGTCCAATGGGACATTGCAAGGACGAGGTACTTAGGGCCCCAGTTGTTCACAATGTGTATCAATGATTTGGATCTGGGGTCCAAATGTAAGATTTCCAAGATACAGTGCTGGGTGGGAATGTGTTGTGACGAAGATCCAAAGTAACGGATTTGGAAAGACTTGCTGAGTAGGCAAGAATATGGCAGATGGAATATAATGTGGACAGTTGTGAATATACAATTTGGTAGGAGGAACAGATGTGCAGAGTATTTATCTTGCATAGTAAACAATTAAAAAGTGTAGATCTACAAAGGGACCTGAGAGTCGTCATTGAATTGTCACTGATTGCTGACACACAGTTCAACAAGCAATTAGGAAGGCTAATGGAATAGAGTCATAGAGAATAGAATCTTTCCCCTCTCACCTTAAACCTATGCTGTCTAGTTTTAGACTCTGCTACCCTGGGGAAAAGGCCTTGGCTATGCACCTGATCTGCACCCCTCATGATTTTATAAACTTTTATTAGGTCACCCCTCAGTCTTTGATGCTGTAAGTAAAATAGCCCCAGCCTGTTCAGCTTCACCCTATAGCTCAAACCCTCCAACCCTGGCTACATCCTTGTACATCTTTTCTGAACCCTTTCCAGTTTCACAATATTCTTCCTATTAGCAGGGAGACCAGAATTGAATGCAGTATTCCAAAAGTGGTCTAAACAATGTCGTGTACAGCTGCAACATGACCTTCCAACTCCAATGCTCAATACACTGACCAATAAAAGCAGGCATTTCAAACGCCTTCTTCACTATTCTGTCTACCTGGGACTCCACTTTCCAAGAACTATGAAACTGCACTCCAAGGTCTCTCTGTTCAGCAACACTCCCCAGGACCTTACCATAAAGTGTACAAATCCTGCCATGATTTGCCTTTCCAAAATGCAGCGCCTCACATTTATCTAAATTAAAACTCCATTTGCCACTCCTCAGCCCTCTTGATCAAAGTCCTGTTGTACTCTGAGCCCCCTTGGCTGACCACACCACCACCAGTTTTGGTGTCATCTGCAAACTTACTAACCATACCTCCTATGTAAAATGACAAAAAGCAGTGGACCCACCACTGGTCACAGGCCTCCAGTCCGAAAGCAATTCTCCACCACTATCCCTGTCTCCTACTTTCAAGCCAGTTCTGTATCCCAATGGCTACTTCTCCCTGTATTCCATGTGATCTAACCTTGTGGAACACCTTACCGAAGTCCATATAGATCATGTCCACTGCTCTGTCTTAATCAATCCTCTTCAAAATATTGGCCTTTTATTGAAAAAGCATTTGAGTAAAGGCATACCAAAGTGTTATAGCCTTTGGTATACTACATGCAGTTTTTTGTCTCCCTTGCCTTCGGAAGTATAATATTGTATAGCTGGAATGCAACAAGACTTTTTCTTCTAGGATAATGGGACTGCATTATGAAAAGAGATTGGGGAAACTGGACTAAAACAAAAGACTGTGGATGCAGGAGGTCTGAATCAGAAACAGCTGGCAAAACTCAGCGGGTCTCTGAAAAGTCACTGGACTTGAAATGTTAACTCTACCTTCTTCCCACACATCGCCGTACCTGCTGAGTTTTGCCAGTAATTTCTGTTGGGGAAACTGAACCCACATTTTCTAGAGTCTCAGAATGAGGGGTGATCGAATTGAAACCTACAAAACAATTAAAGGAGGAGCAAATTACTACAGGCGCTGGAATCTACTGGAAACAAAAAGTGCTGGAAATCACAGCAGGTGAGGCACCGTCCGTGGAGAGACAGCAAGTCTAGATATCTTTTTATCTCTGCTATGATGAAGAGTCATCTCGACTCCAAACGTTAGCTTGCTCTCTCTCCATGGATGCTGCCTGACCACTGATTTCTAGCATTTTCTTGTTTTCAGTCAAAATAATTGAAGGGGTGGATGTAGTTAATAAATCAATAGATGCAGATGCAGATGCGGGTTGGAGAGTCTTGAACCAGGGGATACTTTCAAAATAAAGAAAAACCTCTTAAAATTGAGATGAGAAATTCTTTTACTCAGGGCTGTGAATATTTGGAATTCTCTACATCAGAGAACAGTAGAAGCGCAATCACTAAGTAGTTTAAATGGTTAACAATTTGCTATCATTAGAGAACATCCCCACTTATGACTTTATGATGGAATGATCTATTTTGTAACAACTTTATAGATTCCCCAAGGTTTAATACATTTTCTAGTAATCCATGTTTTTTCTCTCTTTGTAGAGCTTTGCAGTTTCCTCCAGAAGGATGGCTGAGGATGTGTCTCAACAATGGCAGCATCACCTGGCTTACCATCCACCCTAATGGGAGGGTTGCACTCCGAACATTAGGAGACACAGGCTTCATGCCTCCTGACAAATTAAGTCGCTAGAACAGAGCTGCTGCTTGTTATTTTCAAAATCTTGTGCTTCATGTTACAGTGCAAAATGTTGTCTAATACTTGAAATGATATCAGTTGTTACCATGTCGGTTTACAACAAGTTAGATTTTTATTAACTTTTTTTTTTCCCAATTTTCTAATCACACCCCTGAATCCAGGTTGTACGAGTGTGTGTGTGGAATTTAATCAATCAATGTTGATTCATTTTAAGCTGATGACACACTTGAATGATGTCTCTGCCTGTGCCATAGTATGTTTCTCTTCGCTTTCACTCCCTTACCTCATTATAACCTTGTTGAGAAATAGTAAACTTAACTTGGAGGGAGATGCAAAGTCTGGTCCTGAGTGTCATTATCACTGTAGAAGTAACTTGCTTTTTAAAATTTCAAATGATTCTCAGTTTAAAGGTTTGTTTAGTCTGTAAAAGAATCACTTTTCTCTTGCAGATATTGTATGTAAGACCCAATACACACAGTGTCTTGCGTATGGTTCATGAGATATGTCATTCTTCCTGGCTCATTGCATAGCGAAGTCTAGCAGCAGCCCTTGCTTGCTTGTGCAGGCAGGTGACCTCAGTCAGTACTGCTCAGGAGAGGGGAGAACAGTTGTTATGAATCTGACCCTCCGTCAGTCATGGCTAGTATGGTGGATTCAGTTGTGATACCTCTGTAGGTGAACAGGCTATTAAAGCATGTATGAAATAGGATAACTTCCATCCATTGAACTGTAAGTGAAAGAATTTTTATCTTTGTTGCACATCATAGATTGCTTCAGAACCAATGAATTAATTTTGAAATAGGCACAGCTTTGGTGGGAGGGTTGAATATAAGTTGTACAAAACAAATCATTATACTTGATAATTGGTGATCAAGCTATAGAACTTGTATCATGTTTTGCATTAAGCAGTTTACTGATTGTATCAATTTTTTTTTTCCAGGCTACATCAATGCAATTTTAAATTCATTACAGGGCTCTGCAAATAAAGGGTTTTTAACAAACTGTTGTCATGTAGCAATAGATGTGTTATTAACAAGCACAGTGATTGAAAGATCACAACCAGTAACTTTCATATCCTTATTTCAATTTATGGATGTGGTTTTAATAAGTTTACTAGAATGAAGAGTTCTTTGACAAGTAAAGGTTAATTCTTTCATTGGAGTTGAAAGAAGTTTCTGGGCTTTAACAATCTGCCAACAGCATTACTTACAGAAAACCTTGACCACAGTTACTCCAAACTGAGATTACCAGCTAGCTCTACATCACTCTGGTGCAACTTGACCCATGGCTGTGAAAAACCTGAAGTAAGTCACAGGGAATGGTTTGTTACGTAAGTGGTGTGCAACTACAAGGAGATAGCAAGAACTGCAGATGCTGAAGTCAATCAATACAGTATGGAGCTGGAGCAACACACAGCAGGTCAGGCACCAGGAGAGTTGACATTTTGGGTCAGGACAGGGAAAGGGGAAGGTAGGTGGGATGATGGACAGGTTGTCAGGTCAAGGAGATGGGGATTGGACATTGGACATTGGATGCGGCCAGGGTGGGGAGATTTTGAAACTGGTGAATTTTACGTTCAGGCTCTAGGCTCCCAAGGTGGAGTGAGGTTGTTCCTCCGTCATCGTGGCACTGGAGGAGGCATTAAAATGGTTAGTGTACAAAAGGTCCTGTCGATTATCACATACAGAGTGTAGATACTCCACGAAACATCACCAAGTCTGTGCTTGGTCTCACTGATTGTAGAGGAGGCCACTTCGGGAGCAACAGATAAAGTAGACCAGGTTGGAGGATGTACGTGTGAATACCTGTCAGATATGGAAAGTTTGTCTTGGGCCTCAGATGAAAGTGAGGGGGGAGGCATAGGGGTAGGTGTAGCACATCTTGCAGTTGCAGGAAAAGGTGCCAATGTGGTGGTGTTGGTGGGGAGTGTGGAGTGGATGAGGGAGTCATGGAATGGTGGGTACATAGAGTGGAACCTACGAAAGAGGTGGGGAGAGTGGGAAATATCACTTTGGTGGTAGGGTCAAATTGCAGGTGGCAGAGCATGATGTCCTGAATGTAGGAAGTTGGTGGGGTGGGGGTAGGTGTGGGAAATGCAAGAAATCCAGTTGAGGGCCTTTTGGATCAACTAAGGGGGGGGGGGATGTCAGGGAGTGGAGTGCTCCAGCTTGGGAGTGGATGTGGTGGAGGAATTGGGAGTAGGGGTCACAGCCTTGCAGGAAAGTGGGTGAGAGGAAGTGTAGTCAACATAGTTATGGAAATTGGTAGGTTTGAGATAAATGAGACAGTTACCGGTGATGGAGACAGAGGGATCCAGGAAGGGGAGGGAGGTATTGGAGATGGTCCAGGTGAATTCGAGTGTTAGTACAGTTGATGGACTATAACTGAGCTTCCCATGAGGAGCTTGAGCAATGTAGCAGAGGAAGAGGTGAGGGATGGTGCCAGTGTAACAGCAGAAGAGGGACTGTTCCACTCACTCACTCCAACCCCAACTTCACCATCAAACCTGTGATGAGGGAGGTGGGGGAAGGGCAGTAGTGGTATGGCATACCGAACTCTACATCACAGAGGCCAGGCACTAACTCTCTGACACCGCCTCCTACCCCTCACTTATGACCCCACCCCCCCATACCAAACCATCAATAAGCATCACCTCAGGAGGCCTCCCACTTGATTGTTGCCCAACTCTGCACCACCCAGTTCTATCTCCTTCCTAAACACCACAAACCTGGTCTGCCTGCTCCTACCCACTGAACTTATCTTCGCTTACCTTGACCTGTCTTTTCCCCCGGTCCAGGAACTCCCCACCTACATTTGGGACACTACCCACCCCTCCACCAAGACTTTCAGTTCCCCTGCCCTCAAAAACCTCATCTTCACAATGGATAGCCAGTCCCTGTACACCAGTATTCCCCAAGCAGAGGACCTAAAAGCCTTCCACTTTTTCTCCCACAGGCCCAACCAGTCCCCCTCCAACAACACCCTCATCTGCTTAACAGAATTTGTCCTTACCCTCATCAACTTTTCCTTTAGTTTGTAGGAAGTTGGAGGAGTGGCTATGGGCACCTGTATGGGTTCAAGCTATGCCTGCCTCTTCAAAGGATACATGGAACAGTCCCTATGCCTCTGATGACTGTATCGGTGCTACCTTGTGCTCCCGTGAGGAGCTTGAACAGGTTATCAACTTCAACACACCCAGACATCCCAGATGTCCTCCTCCTTCAAGGACCACAACTTACCCCCTCCGGCCCAAGCTGTAGGAGAAACCTCCCTTTGATAATTTGCTGGTAGTGAAAAAAGGTGATCTCAGCTAATTGAACTTACAATAATCCACAGGCAGACCAAGCCCCTCTTCAAGCCATAATAGGATGCTAGGGCTTCTGAACTAAAGATATGGAGTATGAAACTTTCTTGTCCAGTTAAATTCCACGAATGCCAGAACACAAAAACAAGAGCTGGATTAAAACTAATGGAAGTTTAGCAGAGAGGTTTAAAAAAAAGCTTAATTATGTAACAAGTGATATGAAAATCAATGTGCATTATACCTCTTTGGTAAAGCCAGAAGTCACCAATCTTACCCAAGTACAGGAAGGGTAAGGAAGCAGTTAATCTTAGATCTAGTTTAAAAACTAGCTTCAACTGTCAAATGGTCTGAATACAGAAAACACCTTACCTTATAACCATCTCACGGGGAAGAGGTTTTCATTGAGGATTAATTCATCTTAACGACTCAAATTGATTCTGGTCATTCAAACCAGTTGTTTGCACATTAAAAGAGATTCAGTACAGCCCAATCAAAAATTCTTCAACAGGGCACTTCTACGTACTGTGGGTAAATTTGAATTGCCTAGCTTTCTTTTAGTAAAAGGACTGGATTACAAACTAGTCAACCTTAAAGAGTAAAGCAAGTGCCCAGATAGATGGAGTAGGAATTCCACTGTGGCCAAAACAGGAACTGAACTAAGCTGGATCATCAACATGGCCTGTATGCAGGTGCTCTCAATGAGATCATCTTTTTAAGATGGGCAGAGAACCTGAATTGATGCAATTGTTTTGGCTTTTTTTCGAAAGCAAACAAAACTTTATTTTCCAAATTCAGTACTGTTCAAGAGAGAATGTGTACTACTTAGTCTTACATGAAGATAAGTAATCTAATTTCATGGTCACCACACCAGTGTCTTGCAGTAATTATCGAAACATCGTTCTAGGTAGAAGTTACATCTTAAAAAAATCCTATCTCCAATTTCTTAATATACTGTTTTATTTAATACCATTTTGTTCTCAACAACAATCAACAATAATTCATTGTGTTACAGAATATCTGCTGCTTAAGAATTCTTTGCACAGATCAGCTGAAGACTTATAAACATTAGAAACAGGCAACTTGTCAGCAAAGGTGCTTTCTGTCCCATAGTTCCACTAATTACACCTGTCTTTTAAAAAAAGAAAAGGAACTCACCGTACAGAAATATTTATTAAATTTCTACCTACACTAGGTCACTTATTAAATTTCTAAGTTCATTTTAACCACAGGTAGGGGAGAATGAACCTCCTGTTTTTCATCAACTGGCAAGTACAGTACCTTGAAGCCAATGAGTGAGAAATTAACCAAATCACAACAGCATCAATACTACACTTCAGGTTGGAAGCACTTCATAAGAAGTGAGCAAACCAGGATACAGATAAACCCACAATATAAAATTTTACAAGTCACTTGTTCAATTTAATTTCCTACGTTTCTGATAACACACAAAACTAAACTTATTCAATGCTATTCATCAACTTGCACTTGCATACTGAACTCTCATACATTATTCAACAGCTTTAAAAAATGTGAAACTCCATTTATAACAATTAAAATGCTTTAATTTTATGCATTTTTCTTTATTTTTTTCTCCAGTCATCATTTCACATTTACACAGTAAGAAATGTACCATAAATACATGCTACATCCCAGAGGGCAGTCTGAAAGGTCAGAGGCAATAAGGTCAGACATTTTCATATATTCCAGAGGACCAATCTACTGCCACTTATGGGTGCAGGAGCAACAGTGTAAAACCACTTTATATGAGGACAAGAAAAGTGCTTTCAGGTTAGCATTGTGTCCTAGGAATCTGTGCTATAACAATGTGGGGCTGAACAGTAGATGGTCTCTAGAAATTATCCAGTCATCCCGTACCTACATGCTGCATTTAATTACATTAAAGGCAACAGTAATACTAGTCCATAGCTCAATTAAAAAGTACTTTTAAAAAAGGCACTAAAAAGCTTGCAAAAGTCACAGATGTAATCTTCTTGCAACAATTTTTAATACAATTCTGAGAATACTTAATGACCAATGCAAACAAGGTGTCAGGGAGACTGATTCATTGCTGTACATCAGTACCTTATTTTCTCTCTTCACATGTTTAACACAGAAGTTTTCTGCCTTTTTACACATCAGTTATAGTAACTTGCTTTCTGTAGCACATTTCAGTTCAATGCAGTATAATGTACAGTAACATACCCACAGATGTATTTCCCAGCAATAACAAACAAAGCCAAGTTAATTTATTCTCCCTCTGCATCACTTCAATCCAACACCCACTGCCCCCCCCCACCCAAAATAAGTGGAATCTTACAGAAATTTCACAGAAATTAAATTGGAAAAAAAAATACATAATTGGGAGTGTTACTAACATCATCAGCCTAGACCAAGATCCTGTTCAATCTTCAGAGCTGCCTTGGTCATGAAGTCCTCAGAAAAGTTAAATTACTTTTTCTCCTATTCCTATTTTCGGGAAAGTTCAAATAGGGAACATTTTATTACAGCATGGCATAAAAGAAGTTGTAACGTATTCACATTTGGATGAAGGGATGGTAGAAAAATCAGGGTTAACATTCATTAGAGAAACAGGGAACGGGGAACTTGGAATAATACAGCAAGCAATAAGGGACTGCAATGAAAACTGATTTACACCGAAAGAATCAAAGAATACATTAACAATGAAACAGCCATTGTACATTTTAGACATATTTAGGAAACTACCTTTTTTTTTAAAATATAGAATTGGTTCCTCCTCTAAAATGGGCCAACATAATGGTTTCACAACAGCAAATGTTAGAGCTCAGATGATTCAGATAAGTGCAGAAGTCGCAACACCTGGATATGGCTGGCATAGGCTGGACTATATCGCCCTGGGCTTCCAAACTCGGAGTAAGGAGAACTCCCAAACTTTCCTGGACTGTGGCACAGTGGACTAGATCTCCCATGAATGGAGAGACCAGGGCTGCATGGAGAACTCTGGGCAATGGACTGCATTTTTGGTCTCCCTTTTAGTATAGCAGGGCTTGGCCAACTGCAAGAACAAACAAATAAAAAGATTGTGAAAGCGAGTGCATGTCAACTTATCCACTTGCCAGGCTTTACCGAGAGCTCAGTCATGTACATAGCATTTTGCAGAACAAACTCCATAAACATTAGTACAGTATACCAGTATTACTGCCATCTTGTATTTATTACTAAAAGAGTTGACTACTTTGAGGGTTGATGATAAGGTACTTTGCTCATCAGAAATGACTTACAACTAGAACCGCAAGGTGAAAACTGCCTAACTGCAGATAGCCTTGGCCGATATCCCACATACATTAGAGGAAATGGCAGTGATCAGTTGTATGTTATTGAGGAGGTTCTCCCACTGCACCAACCATCTTTAGGGTAGCAACATATTACGCATATGAAAAAGTAGTTAGCTGAATTAAACTACTGCCTTCAATGACTTTACTCAAACATGACAGATTTGGTAGAACAGACTAAGTATTTTATAAACAGCGATTCAGAGCTGTAACACAGTACTGCTAGGGTGGAGGGCATGCAGGTAAAGAAATCAGAACAGCCAAATTGCAGGGTAAATAATTTTAAAGTATTTACGATTAGTCTTTATAAATTCTAAACATGACTTTATGTAAATACTGGCCAATGGACTACATGTGATTTGCCTCTACATTTTCCACCCTGTCTGATTGGAAGACTTCAGGTTTTATTCAGGGCCTCAAGTGCACGACCGGTATTAGAGGGAATACAAGTTGTTCATGCTCATTAAGAATTTGCGCATGTGATCTAAAACTAACACTCAACACTGTTGGAATTCCTGTCCTCTGAAATGCATAAAGACAGAAGGAACCTCAGTTTAAGTGGGTTTAAATAGCTCATGAATGATGCCAAAACACCACACTTCTTTCTGTACACAATAAAATTATTTGCGGTATAATTTTGATTACTTTGAGAAAGTAATACAAAAGCATTACAGGTTTATTGCCAATAACTTTACTGTAAAATGGTTCAATGCTTACACAAAACGTCGCACTGTTCAACATTAAACAGAAACAATCTGTATCCAGCATTTGCTGTTCATCATAACAGTTCAGTTCCCAGGGGAACATCTATAATAACCATAAAATGCCATACTTGGACCAGGATTAACATAAACATTGCATTCTAATTTTCTGCCCAACAAAAACTGTAATGCTGGTTGCTGTACTGGAATACACAGCTATCTCCACTGGAGGACCATTAAAACAATGGTGCAAATCTTAAATATATAGCCTCAGAAACAAAATGCTCAAAGTAACATATTCTATACCAAATATTTGATATGTTTTAATTAAATCCTTTTGGCAATGCTTGGGTTACAATAACTCATGTAAAACACATGTTTCTCAACACATTCTGCTCAAAACACAAAAGACTGTTTCTCTCTTTTAGATAATTTCTTTTCTTATGCTCTGCTGGAAGTGGTGACAGCATTGGGAAACAGATGGATAGGCGCCAGCAATTCAATCATGGTGCTTCCCAACTTTTGGCCTGTGACCCCATTTTGGCACTTGGAGACTACAATGGCCCTGAGAACTAGGGATATCGTAACAACATTTGGTTTAGTCCACAGAATTTTAACATGAAAATCACTTCCTCTGCCACAGGTGTTTTGCAATACTGCATTCAGGCTCAAGGATTCACCTGTTAGGCCATTCCCACTATTAAAAAAACCGCAGTGATTTAAAGAGGCAACACAGTTGTTAATACTCAGTCCAAGTTTCATGAAGCTAGTGCTGCCTTAGCTTGTAACCCCAAACTTTTGGCAGCCAATCTCACTGTAGGTCTCAACCCACTCTGGGAAACCCTGTTCTAGCACCTTGAGCCTAAACCATGAAAGTCAGCAGATTGCTTGATCCTGGGCAGTCAAAGATTACCCAATTCTGCCTGAATGTCACACAGGCAAAACTTTCCAACAGACAGCATTCAAAACCAGGACCATTCTCCTTCCTGGGCAAAGTCAGCGTTGAACCTGAAGTTTTGATCTGTATGACTTGATACTGAGCTTTCAGAGAGAATCTGATAGTTAAGTTCCATGTACTATACAGTTGAGTTAGGCAATGCTTGGTTTTAGTACTTACTTGTGTCACTCAGAGATTGAAAATCCAAAAGACTACCAAGTTAAGAATTAAAACGGAATTCAGATAATCTGGTCTAGGATGGCAGCAGCAAGAAATAAAAGTGTCTACCAAAGACAGCAAATGATTAAAAAAAAAGTTTACTAATGTCCTGCAAGGTGGGAACATCACCAGCAGGTTTGGTCTGCCCTGCACTCAATTCCAGTTCACATGTTGGGGTTTTCTTTTAATGCCCATTGAAAAAAATCCAGAACTGAAGGCTAGCCATTACTATCTTAAGACAAGTATTGAGTTGCATCAGACTCACTCACTTTCCAAGAATAATATGGAAAAAAAGTGATATTTCAAGTAGAAATTACAAATGTACAGGAAAAACACATCAGTTCATGACTTTTTTTCTGTACAAACTCAACAAGATACACTTTTACAACCTCCTTGGCAATGGCATCATCATATCATCAGATATACTAAAGCAGTACAGATTAGTTACAAATTTTGAAGATATCAAAAGGATTAAGCCACCGTAATAAGATCTTCCTCCAACTCAGTGTGTGAGGTTTTCTTTGCTTTCAAAACCCACCTCTGCATTTCTGACGGAGAGTAGAACTGCATTCTGCTCTTCCACTGACTTAAGCATGGGAACATCTGAGGATCAATATCAACACCATTTAATGCAGCTAAAACATCACTGTCAAGCTTCGTTGGTCCATCTCTGGGAGGGAAAGAAACAGAACTGTATATGCTTCAATGTTAACCAGTAACTTTATTGGCTCTAAACAATTTAAAACCACAACACTCCAGGTGTTTAAGAACATTCTTTTATTCTTCAAGGCATCATATATAGGCCTGATAACATAGACCTGTACCAGTTTCCTGGAAGAGTAAATGCACAGGAAGACAAAGCTGAAACCTGGTCTGATGTTTCTCCTGCCCCGCCCCAAAGAGCTCAAGCCAAGTGGAAAGACTTAACTGGACTCAGATCAGTAACTCATTACGAACCAGGAATGAAGTTTTCATTATGACTGGTTCCAAATTGAGGGAAGTGGCTCAGGAAATTTTTTTTTAAATTATTTATTACTTGATATAATTTGCATTGAAAAAATCCATTCCTCCTACAGTGGGAGAATGCTATTATAAATACCTAAATAAAGAAAATACTTCCATGAATAAATTGGTAACAATTGAGCTCTAGTCCAGATTAAATCACTACTTTAAAATTGCAGCCAAATATTTGATTTTTCTGGCAAACTATTTGCTTAAATCAGAATTAGCACAGTCAGTGCTGAGGAATTAAACACTATTCACTGTAAACATGTTTATGTTCCCAGCTGATGTTACTACTGCATTAGGTCACAACTCAAATGAAATCCGGCTTGATAGATCATACTTTGATTTTTCTTTAAACAGGCAGTCTTTCACTGAAACAGACACAAGGTTGCAGTTTTGATTTTAACATCAAAACGAACAGATACTCAAAATCCAGAAACACTCGCCTTCCCTGTCAAATCTGTAAGTTTGACTTAATTGTGTCTTCTCACTTATAGTTCTGTGAACAGTGAACCCTTTTCTTTGGACACCCACGCAATGGAGATCTTAGACTTTCTCAGCTTTGAAAAACCAATGCAGATTTCTAACTAAACAGTCCTGTTCTGCAAGTTTCACAAACTACAATCTAAAACAACCTATTTTCTTAATGGCACTGAACAATCTCCTTTTCTGCGAAGTCCTATATTTGCTTCTGACCCCAGTCAAGTCTCCTTTGAATTGCACAAAAGTTTTTGAACTAAACTTTTGAGAAAACATCTGCTGCTAAGCCAATCACTTAAAGTGTTCTCTCTCTGGTTGTAAACTCCCTCAGTACAAACAAATTTCCATGAACATTCCAGGAGGTATTGGTTTAATAATCATCGTTCTGGAATGTCTGGCGTAGATAATTTCCAAACTCCTTCACAAGAACTGATCAACACTCATATGCCATTGGTTTAAAATTTGAAACTCTAACAAAAAAAAAAGATAATATATATAAATCAGACACCTGTCATCACAATATTCAGTGAGTGTTTTACTTGTACTTACAATACCAAGGGCCACATGAGAAATAAAGTTCTCACTAATATCTCATTTTAATCCACCGTCCACAGCACCATCATGGCGTTTTTATATTTTTAAAATTTCCATCAGTGAACACACCTTGCAAAATCTTGGACTTTTCCTCCATCAGTCCAAGTCAGCAGGGAAATGCTGTCCATTTATCTGGATACATTTTGTTCAGTTTCAACTCCATTTCCAGTGTTCTTGACAGTCCACATTGAACATTGACAATATTTTGTTTTTCCAGCAAAAGAAATTGTAAAAACATACTTCACGCTTGCTGAAACATTTTGTAGTTGATTTGAGAAAATTTCTGTGGTCAGCGTTCACTTTAAAATTAACCTGCTAATCTGGGTTGAGTAGCAGTTACAAACACTACATACAGACTCAGTGTTCCAACATAATAGGAGAATATTAAGCCCAAATTCCTGCTCACATAATCCATAACTTCAGTAAGAGAATGCATGTTCATTCATATATTCACACACGTAAAATTATGAAGTGGCAAGGCAGAGTGAATAGGAAGGACCCATTCTCCTTCTCTCCGTTGGCACCTCCTACCCCCAACCACATGAGATGAATTTCCAGGGACACAGATTTGAAGTAGTTGGTAAAAGGATTAGACAGGAACGAAAGAGAAACATTTTCACCCAGAGCGAATTCTCTGCCTGGATGGGTGGAAAGGACATTTTTAAAAATACATGAACACACATTCAAAAATGTCATAATTTGCTAGCCTATAATCAAGAGCTGACAAGTGGGATTAAGCTCAAAATCATTTTAGTCTTGTTTCCTATTCATTTGTGGGATATGGGCATCGCTGGCTGGCCAGCATTTCTTGCCCATCCCTAGTTGCCCTCGAGAAGGTGGTGGTGAGCTGCCTTCTTGAACCGCTGCAGGTTGACCCACAATGCTATTAGGGAGAGAATTCCAGGATTTTGACCCAGCGACAGTGAAGGAACAGTGATATATTTCCAAGTCAGCATGGTGAGTGACTTGGAGGTGGTGATGTTCCCATACGTCTGATGCCCTTGTCCTTCTAGATGAAAGTGGTCGTGAGTTTGGAAGGTGCTGTCTGAGGATTTTTGGTGAATTTCTGCAGTGCATCTCGTACATAGTACACACTGCTGCTACTGAACGTCGGTGGTGGAGGGAGTGAATGTTTGTGGATGTCGTGCCAATCAAGCAGGCTGCTATCTCCTGGATGGTGTCAAGCTTCTCGAGTGTTGTTGGGGCCGCACTCATCCAGGCAAGTGGGGAGTATTCCATCACACTTGTTATTTCTGCCAGTACAGGCAGAATGGGCCAAATCGCCTTATTCTGTGCTGTAAATTTTTGATGTTTCTTTTATGAAACCTAGTCTGGAAATCTGAAGCACATGGTTCCTAGGTCAGGATTCTCTTAAGCTTAACATTCTGATTCAGTTGGCAGTTAGGAAGGCAAATGCAATGTCAGCATTCATTTTGAGAGGGCTAGAATACAAGAGTAGAAATGTAGTGTTGAGGCTGGTCAGAGTGCATTTGGAATATTGAGAGCAGTTTTTGGCTCTGTATCTAAGGATGTGCTGGCACTGAAGGGGGTCGAGAGGAAATTTACAAAAACTGGGATAAAAGGCTTGTCATATGAGGAGCAGTCCGATTGAAGCTTACAGAATACTGAGAGGCCTGGATAGAATGGACAAGGAGAAGACGGTCCCATCACTAGGAGAGACTAGGACACAAGGGCACAACACTTTAGAATGGAGATGAGGATGAATTTCTTCAGCCAGATGATGGTGAATCTGTGGAGCTCATTGCCACAGAGGGCTGTGGAAGCCAAGTCATTGGGTGTATTTAAGACAGAAATAGATAGGTTATTGATTAGTAAGGGGATCAAGGATTATGGGGAAAAAGCAGGAGAATGGAGTTGAAAAATACATGATTGAATGGCGGAGCAGGTTTGATGGGCCAAATAGTCTAATTCTGCTCCTATATCTTATGGTCTAATATATTATCAGTTCCTTACCCAACCAGAAATATCCCCTTGGAGGATCCTCTTCTTAAAGACCCTGGGGTGTGCTTGGGAAGAAGGTGCTGCATGTCTTCTGGGGATCTGCCGGTGATATTCTCCAAATGCATAGTGGTCCTCGAGTTCAATTGGTCTTGAGATCCACTGGATTCCTGTGTTGAAGAATGTACAAAAACCTCCCTCTCCAAAGTAGGAGAACTCTCTGTCCTATAGGCCTGGCTGCCACTGTGTGCATAGTTCTTCTGATTTTTGAGCTGTAAAGTTGCTACCTTCGATGTGCATATTGACAATAAATCTGAGATTTCACCATCTTCTATCACAGACTGCTTCGGGTCGGGAGTGAGTAACAGATTCTCGTTCTTGGTTTCTTTTTCAGTCACCCCATCACTCTCAATTAGATCACTCTTACTACAGTGAACATCCTGGTCATAGACAGAGTTTTTTTCTTGAGCTACCAATCCTGACACATTACTGCCCATGAACTCTCCAGTTACTTCATTCATCGCTGAAAGCAAATTTCTCTCTTCATCATCGTAGAGTGAAAGTTTTTCAAATTCAGCCATGAGGTTAGAAACAGGAGAAAGGATATCTTTTGATCCAGACATGGTAAATGAACGAGAACATTGCCCTCTAGGATTTTCAGTACCAACAGGTGAACAGACCCCATTTAAATTGGCTGAGATCGCCATGTCAGGTTTATTTAGATTGTTTGTAGAATCAATAATGTCTGTTGAGCGCTGCACAGGAAGTATATGGCATCCATTTCCTTCAATGGCACCAGAGCTGGTTCCAGATTTAACCACTGACATGCTGACTTTCAGTGCAGCATTTTGTCTATTTTTTAATTCTTCTAAACTAAGGTCATCATCCAAAAAAGTACCAGAGATTGAGCTGCAGTACTTATTAGTTTTACCTGTAGGAGGAGAAAATAATAAGTTTTGATTGCATTTTTCCAGCATAAAGACTTTAATTATTATTCCTCATCAATATTCCCTTTTAAAAATCAGAGCGATAAGAATGGGGAACTCGCAACCACATGATATGGCTAAGGTGAATAATTTGGATATTTTTAGGGGGAAGTCAAGTATTTGAGGGAGAAAGGATCAGAAGAAATGTTGACAGGATGAGACAAAGTGTCAAGAGGCTTGTGTGGGGGTGATAAACCATCAAATCTGTTGGGCTGATTTCTATGCTGTAAATGCTAAGCACTTATGATTGATGAAGATTAACATTCTTCACCTTTGTTAATTTTTTGAATAAGACAATTTAAACTTCACCATGGAAACTACACAGCATAAAATAACAGAAGGAAATTAATCATTACTAAGCTAACCACCAAGTGCTTTAAGGGAGCAACTGAATTGACCTGCCCTCATTCCATTTCTGTTCTATGTGGAAACACTGTGCTTCTACAGGATGTCTTTCACCATAGCTAAGGTTTGCAATTTTCAGTCACTGAAAGAATCCTAAAACCCTTAATCCAGGGGTTAGGTAAACCTATCCCCTGACTAGGTCTGTAATTAGAACCTTGTAATAAACCTCATCCATGTTAATGCTCCAAACCCACTGTACTAACTGCCAGCCCTTTAAAAATTTACAAATAGCCACAGTTGCAAAAAAAAAATTCAAATAAACGTTTGTAGCTTGTATTTTAACAGTTGAAATTTCTTTTCTTTGCACTTCAGTCGAGTCTGTGTTCACAGAAGTAAGTTTTTATTAGTAGCTATTTATAATGTTAAAAATGAAAAGTGGTATGGATTTGAAAGTAGCAACCTCTGCAGCATGTTGGTATCTTTAACATGGCTAGCTGTTTAGAATCATAGAACCCCTAGTGTGGAAGCAGGTCATTCAGCCCATCAAGTCTGCACCAACCCTCCAAAGTGTTTCCCTCCCAGACCCACTCCCTATCCCTGTAACCTGCACCTCCCATGGCTAATCCACCTAAGCTGCACATCTTTGGGCTATGGGAGGAAACTGGGGCACCTGGAGGAAACCCACACAGATGCAGGCAGAACATGCAAACTCCACACAGACTGTCATCTGAGGCAGGAATCGAACCCAGATCCCTGGTGTTGTAAAGCAGCAGTACTAACAACTCAGCCACTTTGCCACTTCTTACACAGAGAACTGAAACAGGAAACCAATTTCCTGTTATTTCATGAGAATTCTTTTTCCCTTCAGAACAGTAGTACATACTGTATACGCTAGAAAATACATATGATCTTTATTTAGAAATTAGGGAATATGCATTGAGCATGTGTTTTACAATAGACATTAAAGCTATATTTTACAGTAGACTTTATTAAATTGCATTATACATTGCTTCTGTATGGGCCAATCTGCTTCCTTGGTTTTAGTAAAGGATCTACATAAATTCAGTCACAATTACTCTGCCAGCAATTGAAAAGATTCACGATTTATTTTTTGAATGGTTTGATGGAACAAATTTCAAATTTGCATCGACAGATTCTTATATAAACACAAAAAGCTTGAAATATGCAGATCTTAATTAAATGCTGCTTTAAACTTTTCATTAGAATAATGGAAGCTAAAGGAGTTAATCTTAGAAAGGTCTCAAAATAAATCTTAAATACCTGTATAAAGAGAGAAAGGTTATTTCCATCTGGCTTGTGAGATAATGAGAAGCAGATTATTATTGGAAGCAAGGTTTTCACAAAGGGAGCTATTAGAATCTTGAATGTTATAGGTAGAATGATTAATGCAGTTGAGATTACATAATTTAAAATGAGATTGGAAAAGGAAAAATATAAAAGATTAAAGATAATACAGAGAACAAGGTTAGACAAAGTGAGCCAGTACATATAGCTCACCGAGCAACAATGGGTGGTGATGGTGATGCAGATTTCAGTTTAAAAAAAAACACAATGGCAAATGTATTTTAGGTATATACGTTTACTTAGGGGTGCAAATATTTGCAATCTTTTCTTTCACTGAAGTTTGAAATTCTACCATGAAATGCAGAAACCACCTTAATGCAGTTTCCACACTGTTACATATGAGCAGGAGTAGGCCAACATATGTGATTGGCATAACTTCAGAGTGACTGCTGAGAATGTTGACTCTCCAGTGAAACGGCAGACCCCACCCCAGCTCTTCATTCACAGTGTGGTTGGATGCTGTTATCCCCTTGTGGAGACACACTCTGTTCAAGCAGCTAGATATTGAATCTGCTTGTTTCCCTTGGCTGGCCTCCAATAGTTATTCACATTACGCGGATGGGGGAGCTGAAATATTACAGTGTTGCTGTTTCTATGGCGTCTAGTGCAATTAATAACATCTGGATTCTCAATTAACTCCGTGCAGCTAGTTGCTAATGTATTGGCCTACTCAAATTAGGAGTATATCATTCATGTGGAAGAGCTGGTATTGGCTCTGGGACAATGGACACAATATTTTTGTGCTATAATTCCCTTGATTCTAAATTACTTTTACACTTACCAATTGGTGGAGGACTTCTGAATCTATTGCAGATATAAATGTCTCCACCTTCCTGTTCAGCTTTTTTACTCAGATAGTCTTCTATTTTTTGAATTCCCTCCGGTGCCGCAAGATCAATAAAACAGCCAAGAAATTCCCAGTATTCAGCCCATGGATGTCCCATTTCATGGGCTAAATCCCTGAAATGAAAGTTATTACTACATTACACCTTCATTTATTAAAAGCCTGCGGTGAATGACTTAAAAGTCTTCTTGGTTATGCATTTGCACTTTATTCCCTATAGGTGGAATTAATGCAAGCTTTCCTACCATTTGAATAAATTATTACAATCGAAATAAGCTTCAAATATAGCATGTACGAATTAATTATCAGGCAAGAGTCATAGAGCCTTACAGCACGGAAACAGATCCTTCGATCCAACTCATGTTAACCAGACAACCCAATCTGACCTAGTCCCATTTGCCTGCATTTGGCCCATTTCCCTCTAAAGCATTCCAATTTATATACCCATCCAGATGCCTTTTAAATATTGTAATCGTACCAGACTCCACCACTTCCTTTAACAGCTCGTTCCACAAACGCACCACCTTCTGTGTGAAAAGCGACACACCCCTCAGGTCCTCCTTAAATCTTACCCCTCTCACCTTAAACCCATGCCCTCTTGTTTTGGACTCCCCCACCCTATCCATGCCCCTCATGATTTTATAAACCTCGAAAAGGTCACCCCTCAGCCTCCGTCGCTCCAAGGAGAAAAGCCCCAGCCTATTCAGCCTCTACCTATAATGCAAAACCTCCAGTCCCAGCAACATACTTGTAAATCTTTTCTGCACCCTTTCAAGTTTAACAACATCTTTCCTATAGAAGGGTGACCAGAATCTCTCACGATATTCTAAAAGTGGCCTCACCAATGTCCTGTACGACTACAACATGACACCCCAATTCCCATACTCAATGTTCTGACCAATGCCTTCTTCACCACCCGGTCTACCTGTGACTCCACCTCCAAGGAATGATACATTCTAATAAGTGAAGGGATTCAGCACCTCATTAGGGAGCTCCTAACAATATCTAGGCTCAATCACATTAACTTTTCAATTTTTAACACACCAATTAGAAAAGCAAGGCCATTCAGCCCCTCAAGCAGTTCCATCATTTGACATGAGACAGATCTGATTGTTGCCTCCACTCCACTTTCCCAGCTATCTACATGCCATCTGACACCCTTTCTCGATCAAAATTCTGTCCAATTCACCCTTAAAAATGTTTAATCAATTTGTCTACATTGCTCTCTGGGGAAGAAAACTCTACAGATGAAACCTTCAGAGAAAAAATATTGCCACATCTCCAACTTAAATGGGATACCCCTTACTTTTAAAATGTGTCCCCTGTTCTCTTGTCTCTGACAAAGGAGAGAACATTCTCTGAGCATCTACCCTGTTAAGCCCCCTCAGGATCTTGAATGTTTCAACAAGATCATCTCTCATTTTTCTAAACTGTAATGGATACCAGTCCAATTTGTCCAACCTTTCCCAATAAGATAACCCTTTCATCCCAGAAATCAGTCATGTCAGCCTTCAAGTGCTATTATATCCTGTCAAGTGACGAGACTAAAACTGTACACAGTACTTCAAATGTGATCTTGACAAAATGCTATAAAACTATAGCAAAACTTCCCCTCATTAACATCCCAAACCCACCCTGCAATAAAATGACAGTCTATTTGTCTTCCTAATCACTTGCTGTATCTCCATACTGGCTTTTTGTGAACTATGTACCAGGACATCCAGAACCTTTCCGTACCACAAAGATTTGCAATTTTTCTTCACTGAAATAACATACCACCTCGCTGCTTCTCCTGCCAAAGTGGACAAGATTACATTTTCCCATATTATACGGCAACTACCAACTTTTTGCCCACTCACTGAACCTAGCTATATCCCTTTGTAGACTCTACATTCTCCACACAATTTGCTTTCCTACTCATCTTTCATTATCAAATCAAAAGTCAATCAAATTTAGCAACTATATCTTCAGTCTCTTCATCCAAGTTATTTATTTAAGTTGTAAATAATTGAGGCCCCTGCATTGATCCCTGTGGCACTCCAATAATTTTTTGCCAACTTTTAAATAATCCATTTATTCCTACCCTTGTTACAGAGATAGTAGGAACTGCTGATGCTAGAGAATCTGAGATAACAAGGTGTAGAGCTGGATGAACACAGCAGGCCAGGCAGCATCAGAGGAGCAGGAAAGCTGACGTTTCGGATCGAGACCCTTCTTCAGAAATGGGAGAGGGGAAGGGGATTCTGAAATAAATACGGAGAGTGGGGGAGGCAGATAGAAGACGGATAAGGGAGAAGATAGGTGGAAAGGAGACAGACAGGTCAAAGAGGCGAGGTTGGAGCCGGTAAAGGTGAATGTAGGTGGGGAGTTAGGGAGGGGATAGGTCGGTCCAGGGAGGACGGACAGGTCAAGGAGGTTAGTGGGTAGCAGATGGGGGTGGGGCTTAAGGTGGGAGGAATGGTTAAGGAGGCGGGGACGAGCTGGGCTGGTTTTGGGATGCGGTCGGGGGAGGGGAGATTTTGAAGCTTGTGAAGTCCACATTGATACCCTTGGGCTGCAGGCTTCCCGAGCGAAATATGAGATGCTGTTCCTGCAGCTTTCGGGTGGCATCATTGTGGCAATGCAGGAGGCCCAGGATGGACATGTTGTCCAAGGAGTGGGAGGGGGAGTTGAAATGGTTCGCAACTGGGAGGTGTAGTTGTTTGTTGCGAACCGAGCATAGGTGTTCCACAAAGCGGTCCCCAAGCCTCCGCTTGGTTTCCCCGACGTAGAGGAGGCCACAATGGGAACAGTGGATACAGTATACCACAATAGCAGATGTGCAGGTGAATACCTGTTTGATGTGGAAGGTCTTCTTAGGGCCTGGGATGGGCATGAGGGTGGAGGTGTAGGGGCAGGTGTAGCACTTGCTGCGGTTGCAGGGAAAAGTGCCGGGAGTGGTGGGGCTGGTGGGGAGTATGGAGCCGACAAGGGAGTCACGGAGAGAGTGGTCCCTCTGGAAAGCAGATAAGGGTGGGGAGGGAAAAAATGTCTTTGGTAGTGGGGTCAGATTGCAGATGGCGGAAGTGTCAGAGGATGATGCACTGGATTCGGAAGTTGGTGGGGTGATACGTGAGGAAGAGGGAATTCTGTTTTGGTTGTTATTGTGGGTAGGGGGTGTGAGGGATGAGTTGGGGGAAATGCGAAAGACGCGGTCGAGGGTGTTTTCGACCACTGTGGAGGGGAAGTTGCGGTCCTTGAAAAACGAGGACATCTGGGATGTCCGGGAGTGGAATGCCTCATCTCGGGAGCAGATGCGGCAGAGGCGAAGGAATTGGGAATAGGGGATGGCCTTTTTGCAGGAAGGTGGGTGACAGGAGGTTTATTCTAGGTAGCTGTGGGAGTTGGTAGGCTTGAAATGGATATCGGTTTCCAGGTGGATGCCAGAGATGGAGACAGAGAGGTTCAGGAAGGACAGAGAGGTATCAGAGGTGGTCCAGGTGAACTTAAGATTGGGGTGGAAGGTGTTACTGAAGTGGATGAACTGTTCGAGCTCCTTGTGGGAGCACGAGGCGGCGCCGATACAGTCATTGATGTAACGGAGGAAGAGGTGGGGGATAGGGCCAGTGTAGCTTTAGAAGAGGGATTGTTCCACGTATCCTACAAAGAGCCAGGCATAGCTTGGGCCCATGCGGGTACCCATGGCCACCCCCTTTGTCTGTAGGAGGTGGGAGGAATTGAAGGAGAAGTTGTTAAGGGTGAAGACAAGTTCGGCTAAGCAGATGAGGGTGTCAGTGGAGGGGAACTGGTCAGGCCTGCGGGACAGGAAGAAGCGGAGGGCCTTTAGGCCATCTGCATGGGGAATGCAAGCGTACAGGGACTGGATGTCCATGGTAAAGATGAGGTGTTGGGGACCAGGGAATCGGAAGTTTTGAAGGAGGTGGAGGGCGTGGGTGGTGTCACAGACGTAGGTGGGGAGTTCCTG